TATATATATATATATATGTATGTATATATATATATATATATATATACAGATACACACACACACACACACACATATATATATATATATATATATATATATATATATATATATATATATATAGAGAGAGAGAGAGAGAGAGAGAGAGATGTATATAACAACTTAAAAGGAAAAACGTATGAAAATGTGTAAAAAGTTTGTGTGACGCGTTTTTACTTTATCGGACTAATTTACGTTTACGTTGATGCGACTACACGTAGAAAGAACGTTTTAACTTTGTCATTATATATATATATTTGTCATGTATATATATATATATATATATATATATATATATATATATATATATATATATATAGAGAGAGAGAGAGAGAGAGAGAGGGGGGGATAGGCAGAGACAAAGTTGTGTAAAAAAAACAGTTATATAAATATGCATATATATATATATATATGTAATGGAATGGATTATATCCGACAAGTATTTAATACATTTTTTGTTTGTACGTCATTTTTGTATACGCAGTTTATTTAAGGAAATGTTGTATTTTTAATTAAACAGTATTAATCAAATTTACTGGCCTGAATGTTCTAGAAATTTCCTAAAAAATATGCTTTCTCCGAAAGGAATCGAACGTGTATTCCTATACGAAAACCGTCATTTGACTTGACATGCTGTGCCATTCAGCCACACAACAGAGTCCGGTTAACAGAGTCAGAGTTAGTGTTCATAAACACCTTCTTCGCCGATTTCACACGATTGATCATATCTGCTCACGAAACGTAACTTAACGTAAACAATGATAACATATAATGAAAGGTCCGACAATTAGTTAATATATTTTCTGTTTATACGTTATTTATAAAAATAACGTATAAACAGGGTGCATATATATACATATATATATATATATATATATATATATATATATATATGCATGTATGTATATCCGAATTTAATGAGAACGTAAATAATATAAAGTCTAACGTTCGCGCCATTAATTCAAAAGCGAGCTCTATACCAAGAGTAGAGCAATAATTATTTATTATAATTTTTACATACGAACAAAAACAACTCGCTCACTACAAAGATGCATTCTTGTTTCGATGCAGCTGCATCTCGACTGGTGAGAACCAAAAATGTTTACACTTTTGGTTATCATCAGTCGAGATGCAAGCGTAAAAATTATAGGTATATATATATATATATATATATATATATATATATATGGATATCGATATATGTGTGTATATATATATATATATATATATATATATATATATATATATATATATAAAAAGTTTATATATCAAAAAAGTGAAGCATAACCTAGTGTAAAAAAAATTGAGTTACGCGTTTCATCCTTTAGGATTTCATCAGGCGAAAAAGCGACACACGAAAAACTTTTTCCACTTTGTAATCCTTTTTCCCATATATATACATACATATATATATATATATATATATATATATATATATATATATATATATATATATATATATATATATAATTATTACTTTAAACGTTATTTTTAGTGGATACACGTCATTCAGTATTCATTTCGTTTATTTCAATTATTAAACAGTATTTTTATTTTGCCTGCTAGCCTGCACATTCGGGAAAACAGAGAAAATGCGACCTCTGATAGGATTCGAACCTTCATCCCCTTGTCCCTTGCAGGAGAAACCGACGCTCAATCCGGTGTGCTTTCACAGCTCAATTACAAAAGTTTTGTTTTTTATGTGTATGTGTGTGTTTTGCGCATTTATTTAAAGTCAGATATGTGCACATGAGCGCGCTGGAAAGTTCGTATCTCAAGCCATTTCTTAAAATCTAGCGAAATGCTCAGATCTAGCCAAATGCATCTGATCGTTATTTTAAAAAAAGAGATTGTGTATACATGCGTGTAATTGGTTTCAAACATCATTCCCCTTTGTTGTCTATTTATATTCAGCTTTTTTTTTCCCCCGGAATTTTTCGCTTCTGACTTTTGTTTCCACTTATTTCATTCAAAGCTGGCATAACTCAGTATAGACAAATGGTAAGAAGAAAATTATGATACCCCAGTCTTGTATGCAATTGCATAGCATTTATGGCACTATTACAAACCTTGTTTTCACCAAATCTATAGAAACTGTTATATAGTAATAAAGTGTCGCTGCCGACACTGGAGTTTGAACATAGATCGCCAGAGAGCAAATACAGGCGATCCCATTATTGAATAAGTAGATCACTTGATGGCAAAGGAAATGTATATATGGGAATTAGCGTGGCGTCTAATTGATCACGATTTCTACTCTATCCTCTATTGCTATACGGATCACTCTTTCTACGCTGTCCTCTATTCTCTATACTGATCACTATACGGATTACTATTCGGTGGTTACTATTCCAGCGAGTATTATCGAGCAAGAGCTATTAGTGCGAGAAATATTCAAATGCCTCTGACACCAGTATTGTTCAATGGCGTATTATAGCTGTATCTGCGATTACAAAGTTTCTACTACAACGAGCATTACGAAAGTGACAGCGAGTATTCGTCGACATTACACAAATGGCAACGAGTGTTCATTGACATCACAAAGAAATATTACTCAAACGCAATTGATGAAACAAGAGAAGCTAGCGAAACATTACACCATTCGAAGCGCCTCTTGCGAAAATCAATGATAAGCTTACATATATGTACAAATTCGCAAGGATGGAGAGACCAGTAAGGATCGAACTCGCTACTCAGTTGTAATTGATATTATTTTTTTTAATCGATCTCGCTCCATCCAGGGCTGTAACGCCAATAAAACACAAAGGTTATAGTATGTGAAAGAATTAGGACTATAAACATTAATGATGAGTAGAAAGAGAAGAGATTAATCAGGAGGATAATAGATAGCCATTGACATTGCATTTGAATTTTTGCAGATTGTAGTTGGTTGGAACCGGAAGAGATTTCCACAAGTGCGAGAGAAGAGACTATTAGCATAGAATTTACGGCTACATGTAACCAGCTCAACTGTAAATTGATGAGATCTCGACATCAATCTAGTTCTGCGCTTAAATTCAAAAGTTTCGGTACCATAGCGAAGAGCTTCTCTGAACAATTACCATGAAGTTATTTATCGAAAAGACATAGAGAGACAACCTTACGGCACTGGGAAAATGTCTAGAGCAGAGCCGCCAGATCAGGACCAATAACATTGCTGATTCTTCTTTGGATCTTATCAAGGAGCGCACGATAAATATCAAAGGCATGAGACCATATGTGTCAGCAATATTTTAAACATGGACGAATGGTAGACATAGATAGAGCAGGATAAGTTTGCTAATCCTTGCACAACGACTAATGGTCTCCCAGGATTAAATATATGTATTAACATATTTTGCCTCATTATATAATTTTGGATTATATAATGGAGGATTATGACAATCGATCTCCAGTCTTGTGCATGAATTTTTAAATAGGCTTACAGTAAGATATATATATATATATATATATATATATATATATATATATATATATATATATGAATGAAAAGTGAACATACACGCAATCGGCCTGACAGTTACGTTTATATGAAACAGCTTGTCGCCTTTAAGTTTGACTTCACTGTTCATTTTATATTTATTTAGATACTATCTCAGATATTGACCAATTTATCCCATAAATGTAATCTTACATATATATATATATATATATATATATATATATATATATATATATATATATATA